GTTGCTGGTTCTACGTAGCTCAAGATCTCCCAGATCTAGTTGTCAATTTAATATAGCAAAGCTTCTCAAACTTTTTCCCTCAGTGTGGACCATAACTTAATAGACAAGCTCTCTCAGGGACATACTGCCTATCACTTGAAACTGCATAATATTGCTTTAGCAACTACGGATCATAATTTGTGAACTGCCATGACATACCAGTTTCACTGGACTCTGGATACAGTTTCAGTCAATGCTTCCTACTTCCTTGCCTTTGTGGTGTTGTATTAATTTTTTATTGTTTCAAGAATGTGGCTTTATTTAATGACTACTATTAAACTAATTTGCAAAGAAATTATGTAAGCATTTAACACTTACTTTAATTCTTTCTTAACTTCTTCATAATCAGCCTGTCCTTTCAGTTTTTCTTCCAGTTGCTTAAAAAAAAAGATTTAATTACTTAGATTTTTTTAGTAGGCGTTCAAAATCATATTCAAATAATTCTTTATATACAGCAAAGAAAACAAAAGTTAGGGTTAATGATTCATACCTAATTTACATATATCAAAAAACAATATTATACATAAATTATAGCTGGATGCAATGTTTTTTTCTTTGTTTACATAGTGTCAAACATTGTACTATTGACTATCATAATTTAGCTGGTTGTATTGCATTGCATTATATTCAATAAACATATTTTTAGGGAAAGTGTTTACATTCTTACAAGGCTATTAAAAACAAAAGCATTGCTTTGGCACAATACTATAAAGTGTTATAGCTACTGTATAGTCTTTTCTACACTAAGAGTTAAAGAATTAACTGGATGCCTTAGGCTTGTAACACATGTACACTGCTATGCATCCAAGCAAAACAGATGTACCAAGTGCTTTTACAATACTTTCTTATTGCAATAACCAATATGATTATATATGGGAGATGAAATATCGAGACCATCATTGAGATCTGCACAGCAGGTGTTTTTGCTCAGGTCTGGATGACCTGTTGCAGTTTGAGTAATTTCTATTCACTATGGAGAAGATGCAGTTTGAAATGAACTTTCTAACATAATAAAATACCGCACATTTAAACCTTACTCAAAAGCCCCCTCTCCCAATACCCATGCTCAAGTGCTACAGGATAATTGCTTCAAGAAAGCTTAAAATGTACTGGTATATTAAGTGTTGCCAGTTGCAGCTGACAGATGTCACATGGCATTCCCCAGAATGGTTTCTTTGCTTGGTACAGGCACACACTCTCTAAGCAAGGAAAGACGAGGAGATCTTTGGGCTTGCAGTCTCCACTGACAAGTTGGGAAAAGTTTTGGTTTTCTCAACTGTTTTCATTTTTGATCAAAATGATCCAAACTGATAATAAGTATATACAATTAAAGTAAACACACTCCCCCCTGCTGCCCAATTTTGACAGCTAGGACTGCATTTTTGAAGCATAACATAAGTACAGCCCATATGCTTTACAGCAATAAAGTACAGCATGGCAAGAAACAACCAAGTACTGTGCTGACTTTTTAAAGCACTGAAAAATTATAATGGCAAAATATGCACAGAATTCAAAATTTCATTGAATGACAATGAGATGCAGGGACGAACTTCTTTTCATAGATGGAAAGGGATATCTAGAATACGAAGAAAAATTAACACAGGGTGTGTCTACATGTGCTATTAATGCAATACAGGCTTCCTGTACAGTAAAATACTGTGCAGTAAGTCTGCCCCCCAAGAGTCTATCTACATGTACACCCTGTTGGGAACAAATCTGCTCCTGCTCTTTGCTGCCCCCCCACAGGAGCCAGGGAGAACTCCAGGCACCCTGGGATACTAGCCCAGGGGCTGGCAGGGTTCATGCTGGTCTCGATGCACATGGGGCCAGGACAGCCCTGCTGGCTGGGGTCCTGATCTGCATGGGGCACAAAGTCAGCTGCCACTACAGCAGACAGAGCTCTCCTGGCCCTGTGCACATACAGCTGGCAGCAAGCCTGATGCCCAGTAGGGGGCCAGGCAGAAGCTGTCCCCACTAGCCAGGGGCTTCCCCACCTAGCCAGGGACTTACTGCCAGCTGACCCAGAGGTAGGACAGCTCCCGGCCAACCCCCTCCTGGGTGGGGCGGGGGGCTTGCTGGCAAGATGCCCCAGAAGTGGGAAAGCTGCGGGAAAGCCCCTGGTTAAGTGGGGAAGCAGAAATTCCCCAGTCTTGGTGCTGCTCCCCAGTCTTGGTTCTCAAGGGGAGCTGGGAGTCGCACAGCACCAGGATGAGAGTGGGAGGGAGGGCAAAGACTGACCTCGTTCCAAAGCTGATCGGCTCCCAGCTCCTGTGGGGAGCCGGGAACTGAACAGTGCCAGGACTGGAGACAACGAACTCCCCTGCCCCTTGTGGCCCCCTGCTGGTGTGGCCGACTGGGAGCAAATCTGCTCCCAGTCAGCATTTACATGAGTGGCACTGTGCAGTAGCTAATGTGCAGTTAATCTATTGCAGGGGTTTTCAACCTTAATTTTTAACAAAAAAGGTTGAAAACCTTCGGTCTCCAAAGTTTCAGCTCATGTACCCCTTTATATTAAAATTATTTGGATGGGGCTGAGTGCGCACACGCACACATATGCACACTCACCCCCAGCAGATAAGTCTGTGGGGGAGGGAAAAGGGCTGGGGCGGCAGATTAAGGCCCCCACGGTGACAGAGGGAGGCACAGACAGGGGCAGGGGTGAATGGGGCCCTGGCTGGGTTGAGTTGTGGGACAATAGGAGCCTAAGCAGGTCATCCACAGGGGTGTGTGTGTGTGTGGGGGGGGGGGGGGAAGCTCCCACCACTGCGTGCACCCCAGCAGAGACCTGGGAGCCACGTGCCCCCCGATCTGTGTGCAGGGCAGAGGCGGTTGCATGCTGGGCTTTGTGCACCACTGTGGCTGCCCCGGTAGTAGCGCAATGCCATGTGCCTGCCTCCTGCCCACCTGGTGGTGGGACACATGTGGTGTTGGACTGCTCCCGGGACAGCCGCAGTGGTGTGCAAAGTCAAGCATGCAGCAGCAGCTGCCTCCACCCCACGCACAGGTCAGGGGGCACGTAACCCCCGGCTTCTGCCAGGGTGCACGCAGTAGCAGGAGGACCCCCCCACCCATACCCTCTACAACCTTTTAAAGTACCCCCAGGGGTATGTGTACCCCTGGTTGACAACCACTGATCTATTGTATTGGCATCCTTTTGTTTGTGAGAGACAGTGAATATTGCAGCCTACGACGTAGATGGTTTGCAAAGTCTCATGTGACTGAATAGTCCAATCTGAGATTTGCATGATCTGTGGCAGTGGTTGCAAGTGTATGTGTCATGGTTAGGTGGTTCGAGAGCTGCTTGCTTCCTACAGACTCTTTTCTCTTTAAGCTGTTGGAGCCAATTCCTGTTGTAGACTTTAATGCTGCGGTGGAGACAATGACACTACTTGTTCCAATCACTTGCCAAGGTTTCCCATTGGTTTTCCTGTTGTTCTCGTTCCTTCCAACAGTTCCCCATAGAGAATGTCCTTGGGTACGCATCCATCTTCCAATCTGCTCAGATGGCTAGCCAGCGCAGTCATCTCGGTCTGAGTAGGACTGTCACACTTGGTAAATTTGCCCTTTGAAGAACTCTGCATTGGTAACTTTATCTTGCCATTTGATGTTGAGTATGTGGCATAAACAGTGCAGATGGAAGCTATTTAACCTTTTCTCTTGATGTCTGTAAGTTGTCCACGTTTCCCCAACATCCATAAGAGTTCTGAATATGCAAGCTTTGTACACTAGCATTTTCATCTCGATGGTAAGTTTTGAGTTGTTCCGTGGTCTTTTAGTTAGTCTGCTGAACGGCCTTTCCGATGCGAACATTAAGTTGTTCATCCAGTGAGGCTGGTGGTCACTGTAGAACCTAAGTAGCTGAACTTCTGGACTACTTTTACCTGGTTCTCATTATGGATGATTGATGGATCTTGTGGAACTCCCGGTCCTAGCAAAACTGCTTTCTTTATGCTGATAGTGAGAGCAAATGCCTGACAAGCTCTTGAAAGGCAAGCCATAAGTTCTTGTAGTAGGCCTTCATCCTGGGCTGTAAGGGCAGCATCTTCAGCTAACAGAAACTCCCTGATACGCACCTTTCTAACTTTAGTCTTTGCCTCAAATCATGACAGGATGAAGAGTTTCCCATCTGATCTTATGTGAAGG